ACATGGCGTAAAGATAGAACCTTAGATCCCGTCATATCCCATCAGTAACATAAATTCTTTGCAATTCCTTGGTTGCGTGATCCGCGTGCCTGGTTCCACTTTCTAACACGCGTGAAAGGGTTACAGTTGCGGCCAAAATAATTGGTTCCAATTTATTTAACTTTGCAGTTCAAACTGTATTTCAGGTGTATTCACTTAATTGACCATATTTACCTTAAACGCTTGTAACACGTTAGGTTTATAAAAAATGAGAATTATTTCGTATTTTATTTTTAGTGAATATCCAGCTGAAAAATATTATTAAGTGGTATTTCTAGGAAAAGGTTGGTTTCTTGTGAAGTTGGTTTTATATGTTATAAACAATTTATGTTTTATAAACATTGTAGGGATGAGTATAATAGATTACAATTTATCTAAAAAAAAAATATTGTGTCATAATATTTCATATATATCGACAAACAAATTTCTAAAAAAACGTGTTTCACAATCATTGTTATATATAAAATGTGTTCTATTTTTAAAATGAACTAAGCAAATATGTAGGATCTATTACATTATAATATATATATATATAATATATTTTTCGATTTAAAATATATTTTTGACGTACACATTTATAAATATAAAAATATTATATTATATATATAATATTGTATAACATAACACCTGCTTTATCAATACAGAATATAGAGATGTAATATTTTTAGCTCACTTAACAATTTAATATAATTATGTCTCATCCATAAATAAGGAAATAGGTATCATATAAATCGACATTTTATATATTAAAATTAATATATTTTTCGATTTAAACATATTTTTGCTCTTAACACAATTTTTCCTTCCCTAAAAATGTTTTACTCATATATTACATTATACTAAGCATCATTATAGAGCACTGCACGTGTTCTTACCGATATCTGTACCAGATTTGTTTTTTCGTTTAGTTAATTTAAAATGTGGGACTACCGCCCATCGGATTTATTAGTGGAGGTAATAATTAATACATATTTCTATACCAGTCAGAAAATAACACTATTTTGCTTGATTAATTATATATTAGTATATTTATAGATTTGCATAAATATGTTTACGTTATATATTATTTTTCTTTATTTATCTGTTTTTATATGTTAATACCAATTATTAAATTGCACCGCCTTACTATCTCTGATTCTCGCGACGGTTGGTTGAGTATAGCATCAGGAATTAAGTCCGAAATGTATACAATTATGTGTACAAAAGAATAAATAAATAAATGCAAATTAAAATATATATTTTTATGTAGCATGATAGACTGACTTTTGGTACAGACATTACGTTATCATGTGACTAAGATGTCATGCCTCTTATCCTGTCACATCACGTTTTTTCCTGTTTTCATAATATTACTGTTACAAATTATAGGAAGCACCTTTTACAATTATTTCTGTTTATCTATAATGGATCCGTTATGTTTAATTATTTTGTTTTTCTCATTTGTAGCTTGATTTGTAATTAGTTCTTATATTTATGATAAGAAACTTCTTATGAAACCTTTACCCCGTAGGTTTGTCCTTTTGACTTTATCTCATCAAATACTTTGCTATGCGCAATACTATTGATAACATTGGATATTAAAATACAAATAGAAATAATCTTTATTCAAATAAACTCATCACAAGCACTTTTGAATAGTCATATTTTGATTCTACTACTCATTCGGAACGCAGATTCATCACATGAAGAATGAGCAAGAAACTTGTGTGTTGCTCTTTTGAATAGCTGTTTTTTTATATATAAATAATTACAAAATAACAAGTATGAGGCATGCGATAATCAACTTAATTATGTTGTATTATATATTTAAAAAAATGTTAAGTTAGTCATTTACGGATTCATCTCGAATTATTGAATCACTAGCTAATGCGACTGACGATGTGTCACTTTAGTGAATACTGTTATTATATTTACATAATAGATTTTTTGAATTTTGAATTTCTGAAGTTTTCTCGATAATTTTGTCTATGTTTATTTTCGTAAGAAATTACAAAGCATTAGAATACTATAACAGAGTAGATAAATGGAATCGGTTAAATCGTTCTCCAGTTATGGCATATTTAAGAGAAATAAGGATACTTTATATATATAAGTAATTCAGATAAGAGTTACATATGAAGAAAAGAAAAATGTTATAATTTTGAATAATAAAATAAAGATATGTAATTACAAAAGTTTTATAATACTTATTTTTTATTTATATATTTTATATATAAATCGTTTAATGCTTTCTCAAGTTACGGCATGAAAAAGGAAAATAAGGATTACTTTATTTATACATATATAAATAGATATGTATAAATAAAGTAGTATAATTTCATTAAATTAGAATTACATATGAAGAAAAACGTGACAGTTTTGAAATAACAAAATACATATATACAATTGCTAAAATTACATAACATCTCGTAAATACGAAAAACGTTAATTTATATGTAGTTTTATATATAGTTTTAATGGTTGTTTGATCTGTATACTTTATACGAGACCTTGAATAAATATATAGAAAGAAAATCATACAGTTTACTGCAATTACCGAAGCCATTGTAGGAATTGAAGACTTGAAAGTAATTGTACATTATATTGTACATGTCATTATTGTGATGTTACTAGTTGGTTATCATGGCTTTATCCACGCGAAACACATTATATACAGATTTTTTTATTCATAAGCATTAATATCATTTAAAATAAATAAAGATTGTGTGATGACATAGTGGAAGTAAAAGTTCAACCTATCTCCTTCACCACCAGCCTTTCTCTTTCTCCCACAACACGATATATCATCTACCGAGGGGATACTGCTTTTTCATGGCTGAAAAATTCTAATACGGGGCGTGTTAAGAATTTCAGTCTAGAAAAGCTACATAGAATTTTAACTGTTTAACTATTTTAGTTGCAATTCACCTGACGTTGCGGGTGCTCATGGACAGCGGTAATCACTTACCACCTGGTGAGCCGTAAGCTCGTTTGTCCCCTGTGCTAAAAAAAAGTATATTGATTGTATATTATTTAGTTATCTACTACTGAGTTTTTTATTTATTTACATGTATTATCTATATACAAATTATATGAATTTATTTATGAAAACTAAAATGTCATGGAATTTACTTTTAATTAAATCGATGGCTTGAGCGATAAGACCGCTTCTACCTACATACTATGTATATTCTGTTTTTTTTTTGTATTTCTCAAAGATACAATAAAGTAATAAATAAACATATCTTTTTTTTTATATTTTTTAAAGCTGCAATAAACTGTAATAAATAAACATATCTTAGACCAAATATATTGGCCGGCAGTGTACGCTCGCGTGTCCAAAGTCGTTTCTTTGCAATCGCACAAACTAAGGGTTTTCAATAAATATACTGTGGTGTATACATACTATACCGACTATATATACATATACAGATTTATAAGAGATTACGACATACAACACAACCGACTATTGATAAAACTACGCTTCTAGAACTTACCAGACCAGTTACGATAGCGATATCTTTTTAAAAAATTGAAATAATAGAGTCGACTCTATTTACTACCCTTGTTCCTTCGATATTAGTATTAAAACTAGTTTATCACTTTTTTTACTAGTAGATAATACTCTAGTAATGTAGTTTTATTTTTTAGAACTTACAAGACGAGTTACGGTGGCGATTTTTTTTTTATTATTGGAAAAATAAAGTCGACTCTATTTACTATCCTTATTCCTTCAATATTAGTATTAAAATTAGTTTATAACTTTTTTGTTAGTAGATAATATTTTAAGGAAGGTGTTACATATAAACCTGGATGGTTTCAGCGGCAGAGGAAGGCCGAAAAAGAGATGGATGGACTGTGTGAAAGATGATATGGCAGGATAGGAAGTAAATAACGAGATGACTACGAACAGGGATGAATGGAAGAGAAAAACGTATTATGTCGACTAAATAAATTATATTACTCATTATGCTCTAGTTGTTTGAATTTAAAAAAAAAGTTTAAGTTCAATAAAGATTCAATTTTTTTTTACAGTTCTATTCTATTTCTATAATTGCCCAAGAAATAGGAATAACAATACGAAAACGTTGTAAGCACCGCGATAAATAATATTAAGTCCCTATAATTTCGCTTATCTGACTTACGGGAAGGCAATTTCTTTGCCGCGGCAAAATTATAGGACGCCCCGCGTGAAACTTAACACCGTACGTACGGACATACATACATTTTGTGTTATTACTTCCTTACTCATCTACGGTTCGCCTGCAGTGTTTGTTTTTCGAAGAAACGAAAACATAGTTGTAATCTAATTTATATACTAAACTAATACAGGTACAGGTACATGAGTATATACCTGCATATATATCTTTTGTGTTTATCTGCTAAGCATTTTTGTATTTAATATATTTATTTTATGTTATGATTTTTTTTAAATCTATACTTACCTACATGAAAACATAATAAAATTAAAAAAAGTATTTTGTTTTTATATTTCATTCCTTAATCCAATTTTGAAGAAATTATGAGGAATTATTGTGTTCAGAGAATGCAGAATACTAACTTTTCTTCACCAAAGTTTTCTTCACCTGGTAAAAGAATAGTTGCAAAAATATTTTACCTACATCGACCTAGTATTTCAGATAAAATCTATATAAGCTACAATTTATCTATTTATGTCCCGTGTACTATGAACAAAGTCGCGGCCATAAGCTATAGCATTATAAAAAATACGTTTTTTTTAATACTTTAGGTTTGGTCTATTGTCGGGTACTTTAGACTTGTAACACTACCACCTACAAAGATCTATTGTGCTCTCTCTTTTTCAAAGCTGTCTAGACTCGTCATAGATAAGAATTAAAGGATATTCATAGGAGCTGTGGTTTTTCTCTACACAATAATAAGTAGTAGGCATGCGATAAAACGTCCTTTACTGTTTATGTTTAGAATATCTTTGTAGTACAAAATGAATGTTTTTGTTACAGATTTTCATGCACAAAAACGCAATGCAGATGCACGCGAGGGAACTCCAGCGTGGCGTTCTAGGGGGCGAGGTGAAGCCCCACCAGTGTCAGCAGTGCCTCAAGTCCTTCAGCTCCAACCACCAGCTCGTGCAGCATATCAGGGTGCATACTGGGGAGAAGCCTTACAAATGCTCGTATTGCGACAGGAGATTCAAACAACTCAGCCATGTACAACAGCACACCAGGTTACATACAGGTTGGTGGTAGATTTTATTTCAAATCATATCAAATCCAAAATCATTTATTCATGTAAGTCATAGGTTTACTATTGAACGTCAAGTTTTTTGTATTTATATCACTCTACTATCCAGTTCAGCATACAAATTTGTGAGAAACTGGCAAGAAACTCAATTGACTTTTTTTCTATAGGCAGTTTGTATATTGTTTACTTATATAGGTATTATGTCTAACTTTAAATGAAAATCTCGTGCATGAACGACAATTGCCATTCACGTTTGCCATTTAAGTAATCGTTTAGTCTGTAAATTATCAGTATTCGCAATCATGGCACATTTTTTTATTATAAATGGTTAAAACACGTATGTAATATAAATTACCCTTTACTGCTATCGTTAGGATAAAATAATTATAATAAAATTAAATTATTAAAATATGTAGGTAATATACATTATCCTTTACTGGTATTAAAATATAAATAATTATAATAAAATAGCAATTCCGATGTACTCTAATAAAGTCAAGTATTGGTCCACAATATCCTACAAATACTTACAAACTGTAAATATACAAAATTAATTGCGAGTTGTGTTCAACTAAAGCGCATTTATTAAATAAACGTTAAAATAATCCAGAGAATCGTAAACAGGAACGCACCCGCCACGGGATGTACTCACCAGACATTCCAAATTTAAACGCGACGACCATCATAAAACGGCGTTCCCGCTCAAAAATAAATCCGCTACATGCCAGCAAAAATGCAACAACTAGAGCAACTTTTATAATTAATAAACTACGAGCGACCATTGGCCCGGGTTTTCTACGGACAAAAAAAAGCCACTGCCCGTATACGTGAAAAGCGGGAAAAAAAATTGTCCAATAGGCAGAGGCGTGCTCGCAGCCGGCCAATGAGATCGAGCCGTGCGTACAGACGTATATTCTACGTGGCTTAGAAAAAAATTCACGTGTTTTTCCACGTTCAAACTAGCCAATAGCTGGCGTGTGGTGGTCGATTCTTATGCGCATTATAATTTGAATCATTCATTTTGTTTGGAATTTTTAACTGCGCCTTTGTTTATTCACGTGTATTTTAAGGCGAAGGAACATTGCTTATGGTGCTATAGAATACATTATGAGTAAATATTATCTTTATTTGATTAGATTCTCAATATAAAACCTGTTTAGTGTATCGTTAATATAGTTACTACGTAACTCCCACTCACATAGTATCGAAGCTAGAGGAAAGTTCATTACTTTCCTTTAGCTTCAGTCACTTGAAATACTGACAACATTATTCATATTAATATTATTAAAACCGAAGTCTCTCTCTCTTACTATTTAAACGGTATACGGTATTTAAATGGCTAAATAGATTTTAATGAAATATAACATGAAACTAAGTTGTCATAGATTATCTCAAGAACATAGACAATTTTCTATTTTTTATTTCATCTCAATCTTTATCTCAAATAAAAGGCAGACGATGTCCCGGGCAACACCTAGTTTAAGATTTAAGTATGTTTCTACTTGAATAGTGTTTAATAGATTCATTTGATATTTGTGTAAAACGTTGAACTTCAATATGTAAGAGATATTACAATAATGTTATCTATATATTTGAATTTTTTCATAATTCACAATAAGAATCAGAAATTTTAAGATTTTCGCAAGGTTTATGTAATAAAACGAAACGATTTATGGTGAATAATTCAGTATAGGTATATTATATTTCAGATAAATTATGGAGTATTTGACTCTACCACATCTATAGATTACTTATAATTTTTAATCAAATATTAAATAACAGTCCCAAGGAGTATCTACTACTTAATGGTATATAATAAAATTATTACACCTGTATAATATACATACATACTGAGTATGTTCCTACCTACTACGTCAGACATCGTACAGAACCTTGATTGCAGCTGGCATTCTAAATTTAAAACGTTTAAATTCTTTGATTATATAATATAGAGATACAGAATCAAGTATGAAAATACATGCCGATCAAAAAACTGATCTAATGCTAATATAATAGAGATTAATACGGAAAATAAATAAATTAATACACCGAATAAAATATAAAATAACCATTCTTCCCAGAGAGATTCACGACGAGTAATAAATAAATAAAATTCAATTTTGTAATGTTCTATTTTCGAAACTCTGATAAATTTATAATTATATTATAGAAGTATATTATTTAAAAATAGAATAGAATATGATATAATGTTTAATTTAATATCAAATTTGTAGTCAATATTTTTGATTGGTCATATTTGACTCTACTGTTATATTCGAAAATTTGAAATTTGTAATATGGATCGAAGTTCTTTTGAAAATATATTTTTAACGACTACATTTTATAAATCCAAATAGATGCAAAGGCAAATAGTCAAAGTGACAAATTATATAATTAAACATTCGCTCCCTCGATGATTATTAGTGGCGAGTGTTAAATGAGTTTTTTAATTGTCATAATTGCTACTTTGGATATGTCTACACATGACACTGTCGTGTTTTTTCACATGTAGCAATATTTATAAACGCTGGCAACTGATATATGAATAGTTTTTATTTAATCTACATAGTAATAGAAACATAAAGAACCGTACTGTACGCGAATAACCTTTGTTTACGTTTTTTATGCACTTTTTGACAATAAATACATAATTTACTATTGAATTCTCAAAAATATTCCTAAAATTGCCAAGATATAATAGTAACATACAAAATATATAGCATTAAAAACATCCTCCTTTTCAAAGTCGGTTATAAATGAGATCAAACTTACCTTATTGGCATAATCTAAGTTGAAACAAATATTTACAAGCCACAATATGACTACTTATCGTCAACTTAGGTATTTATGAATATATATACTGTGGTTAATTTTCAGATATATTATTAACATATATTATGAACGTGCTAGCTACCCGCCCCGGCTTTGCTCACACACTTTATCTATTGCTAAAAACTGCATTAAAATCCGTTGCGTAGTTCAAAACATCTAAACGAACAGACATTGGAAGCGACTTCATTTATTATAGTTTTCTAGTATCCATAAGACCAGTTCCGCTTATTTTAGGACTAGATGGTGCTGTAAGTTGTCTAAATATATTATTATAAATCTAAGTTGAAACAAATAGTTAAGTTACTTATTTATAAATATATATATTGCGGTTTACTGTACGTATTAATTATTAACTTACCTTAAGTTACCGATAATAGTAACAAGTAACATAATAAATATATCAAGTTAGTAAGGTTTTTTCATAGCATAGGGGACAAACGAGCTTGTGGCTTACCTTATAGTTTGTAAATAACACATTCGAAGTGATTTTGTATAAACTCGGTACCTCAGTCTGACCTATTTCAGTTGCTTAGTTTGAAACTAGATGACGCGATCTTATATAGATATATAAGATATATATATTATGAACTTAAAACAACACCGGTCCCGTTTGTTCAATAAAAATAAAGCGAATCAATCGCTTTCCGTACGCCGGCATTATTTCTGAATATCTTTGCATAACAATGGGCCTCGAACAAAAAACATTACGATACAAAACTTGAGCTTTTCTTTTAAAAGTAAAAAGCTTCTGAATAGATGTTTATCGATTTATTTGTTTTCAGCATTAAAAGAAAAATAATTTAATTAAAATGTTTTGATTTGGGCAATGGAACAAATGTCTGTTAGATAGAGGAACGAAGGAACTTTGGAATAAGATAATATAAGGTAGGTATTTAGTACGTACGTTACGTCCTCGGTAGTCTAGCGGTTTAGTACATGGTTTTACTTCCGATGGTCGCGGGTTCAATTCCTCGCAATGTGCAAATATTGTCATTCATTAGTATAATTGGTTTTGTTGGTCTGCGTGTTTTCTATGTTTTTACAAAAAATGTATCTATGTATTTATATAATTTGTCTAGTACCCATAACACAAGCTCTGCTTAGCTTAGTGACTAGATGGCTTTGTGTGGCCTATAATATTATTATATTGATATTATGATAATTGAATAGTTCATTGCTTAGTTTGTACACTGTCCAATATTACCAATTTGTGCTATTAAACCGTTATTACAATATCATATTTCGTACTAATTTCAACTTAACTTAACAGATGTCTATGGTTAATAGTGCCTACGAAATGGTTACATAACAATTCGTATAAAGGTTCATTCTTTATTATATATAACAATAATTTGTCTTTCTGTTTGTTTTCATGATTGAATAATTAGTAACTAAACGGATTTAAAAAAAAGTTCTACGATTAGTATATAATAAATAGTATACGAAGGAAGTTGAGGTTAACACGTAATCATTTATAACTGTTTGATTATATTTCCTTAATATTAGTTTAGTATAATTAACTATAACCACAAACGAACAGTACCAAATAGAAGACATTTCAAATCGGACCTAATAATTATCATATGTATCACAAATATGGCAGTATACTGGTGTTCTATCTATACCTATCCTACTGGTGTTGTATCTATGTAATTTGAAAAGTTTAGTTTTTATGAAAACCTAGGTATACGTTTTCATAAAAACTAAACTTTTCAAATTTGGAATGTTATATATAATTTATTCATAAATTGTTAACCTATTACATTTCAAATTTGAAAGGTTTAGTTTCTTTACATATAAGTTTTCAGAAAACTAAAATTTTAAATGTATTAATGAATAAATTATATACTACATTCCAAATTTGAATGTTTTAGTTTTTCTGAAAACTTTGAATTATAGAAGTGGAACTCGAGTATTTTTACGCGGTTATTCTCAATCATCGGCGGTGTGCGATGGTGCAATGATTCTATTGATTTCCACTATCCCCCCCCCCCCTCACTTCCGCCCCCCGGACACGCGAGATGGACCCCACCCCACATCTATGTACTATGTACGTACATATAAACAAGTTGTGGCGGAATTGTTAAATAGGGAATATAATTCACTGTTCGCGCTGTAACTGTCATAGTTTAATTTAATTTGTATTCCGTTTGTTTACATAC